CATATCAAACAGAATCTTAATGCAATACCGACATGTCGACAGAATCTAAATTCAATACCAACATGTCGACAGAATCTTAATTCAATACCGACATGTCGACAGAATCTTTATTCAATACCGACATATCGACGGAATCTTAATGCAATACCGACATGTCGACAGAATCTGAATTCAATACCAACATGTCGTTATAAGTCTAACTTAAACCGACATATCAAACAAAATCTTTATTCAATACCGACATGTCGACAGAATCTTAATGCAATACCGACATATCAAACAGAATCTTAATGCAATACCGACATGTCGACAGAATCTAAATTCAATACCAACATGTCGTTATAAGTCTAACTTAAACCGACATATCAAACAAAATCTTAATGCAATACCGACATGTCGACAAAATCTAAATTCAATACCGACATGTCGACAGAATCTTAATTTAATACCGACATGTCGACAGAATCCTAATTCAATACCGACATGTCGACAGAATCTTTATTCAATACCGACATGTCGACAGAATCTTAATGCAATACCGACATATCGACAAAATCTTTATTCAATACCGACATGTCAACAAAATCTTTATTCAATACCGACATGTCGACAGAATCTTTATTCAATACCGACGTGTCGACAGAATCTTAATTCAATACCGACATGTCAACAAAATCTTTATTCAATACCGACATGTCGACAGAATATTTATTCAATACCGACGTGTCGACAGAATCTTAATTCAATACCGACATGTCAACAAAATCTTGATGCAATACCGACATGTCGACAGAATCTTAATTCAATACCGACATGTCGACAGAATCTTAATTCAATACCGACATGTCGACAGAATATTAATTCAATACCGACATGTCGACAGAATCTTTATTCAATGCCGTCATGTTCATATATGCATTTATTTCCGTTGGGCGATATACATCCCTGTACCAGAAATTAACATATCACCTTTATTGTCTTCTGCTTGCTGTCCTCTATTTACTTATAAACGTAGTTATGCCACTTTCCATCCATTCTCACCGAGTTAAGCAATTATTTATTCTGACACATGCTTTACAACATATACTCGTTTTTTCATTCACAATTCTACCTCTTATCTTCTACATATTTCCTTAACGACATCGGTACGGATATACACCAGTGTTATAGTACGTTTAATGTACGTAATAACAGTTATATTTAAAAAGGTAGCATAGAGAATACAGTTTTCATAGTTAAATATGACGTCACAGGTAGTGCTGGAATATTTTGCGGAAGGATATATTTTCTGGTGTACGTATGCGTAATAAAGCAATGATGCACAGCACGTTAGGTAAACACGTACTAGTCAAATTAATTTTTTTCTTACGTAAAATTGTCCACATCAAACCTATAAAACATTTGATAAACAAAATATCGATAATGAAAAGAGTTCCAGAAGAAAAGCAGTACTGGTTGAATTTTGCAAATCGGAGAGAAATAATTTTTTTACAGACAAGTAAATGCTGAAGAAAAATCTTACCTTTTGGGCTTTAAAAGAAGTTAAGTAGTGAGGTTTCTAGCAAAGTTATAGCGAATAGCAGTTCGACAATGGCATTGAAAAGGAATCTTTGTTGCAATTCTTCAAAGGCTATGCTTGCTTGCAGGTTATACAAGATAATTCGAATGATAAATGTAATTTTCATTCGTAAACATTCGAAAATTGTATTGACTGTTGATATCAAAAGTGAAAGAGACATCAGTTGTTCGTTGTTTCATTGTCACTAACCCGGTAATAAATTTGAGAACATAGATTTACACTGTGATCTGTTGAATGTTTTCCTTTCTATTATAGTTTTTGGTTTAGAATTACGAAGGTTTAAAACCCGTTTGTTTCCAGATGATGGCATCAATTATCTCGAGATGGAATAATGTAGCTAACACACATAAATTAGAATATATGAAACCGCAGATATCTAATCATTATTTGATAAGCCTCTTCTTTTATCGCTACCCTCTACCATTGTAAAATCACATTCCAAACTTCACAAACTTTCCATTGATTAAAGGGAAACATTTTGGGAGGCAATAGACTGCTGTAAGTATTGGAATCCATTTAATAGAATCGGGTTGAATGAGGAGATTTTAAAGGGAAAGCGTTTTTCTCCTTTTCTGTTGTAGGACATATGAGTTTATCAATACATTGTAAAAAGCTGATTGGAACAAACACCATCATTGTAGTGAATTGTCTTTAAGATCCAAATTGTTGCTACTTCAAAAACTGAATGAAAACAACTCAAACATACTGATACAAAATAGTATAATTCAAACTCAAATCGACAAAACGAAGAACGATATAGACAAAAGAAAGTTTTCATAGAGACCTCTACTAAGGTACTAACATGAAAAGACCAGGTATTTTAGAAAGCATCGTCATTGACAGACATGTAAAATATGGAATTCAAGATTTGCAATGAAGCATATACACCATACTTACTTACTTATTACAGTATAACGATAACACAAGAGCAACCAAGAAACTACCAACATGTTAACAGAATCAGCGTCATCTTATACAATACAACCAGGTTTGGCAATACAGATTGATAAGCTGTTATTCCAAAAGGCACATTTTAAATTCTCAAGAGATGCAACTTTATTTTATACCATAAACACCAATATACACAGCAACGACAATAACGTCTTCATCATACTCAAAATATATTTATATGTGATTGATAACACAAGACTCTATATACTGCGAGACCTTACACAAAATGGAACACCACCCAAGACGGAAACTTTTCAAAGTTATAATGCATCATTTCTATTTTCCATTTTAAAGCTGAATCAGTCATCATTAGAAACATTTTTTACATGTCCATGTCATGTTTTTTAAGAAGACACCTAAGCAGAAACACAAAGAAAAAAATACTCAACGTAAGGTGTCCTGTAACAAAGTTCATTACAGAAGAGGGTAATAACATTTTCAATGAAAAGTATTCTAGCTTGGGAAAGAGTCCAGTTAAAGTGTGCATACTTACAAATATATACATTTGTGATAACGCAGTTTCGATATGAATGAATGGCATTTGCAATGAGATACTTTAATGTTTTCTGAAGCTCTTTCACAGTCCAATTTGTTACGGGATTCAGAAGCAATGGCGTTTTCACTTTGTACACATTCATATCTTTTTTTCACAAATATATATTTATATGTACATGTTTATAAACATTTCTTTCAAAATATTATATTTGGAGAAACAAAACAAAAAACAAAAAAAGCAAAAAACATGGTCATAACCTTTCACAATACTGTTTTCTTTTGTAGGATTGAATTAAATCTATTTCCTAATACCAAGGTTTGCGTAAGGATTTTAATAAATATATTAGGTTCCTATCAGGAAAAAAATATATATATATATATTTGCGTTAAATGAACTTCCCGCAGAATGAGATCAGTGATCCTTGATGGACTACAAAAGTCACGAGTTTTGTAAATATCATATAAACTGGAAATCAATGTTAAAATTTACTCACTACCAAATCAATCACTTTTGTGGAAACATGAAAACAAAACTTGTAAAGCTAATACTCCAGTATGACGATGTAATTAGAAACTCGTGAAATCATAAAGTTGTGAGCTTAGATTGAACTACGGGCACCTGAAGTTTTGTGGGAGCACCTTGGGGGTGTTAATGCTACAATATATGCACACTTAGGTGTTGATGATATCGGGGAAGTAATTACTGTTATTTTGTCAACAATATACACACATGACGTTAATTAAATTGATGTTGTGATGTGAAGAGACATGATTTGGCCACACCAGTCAGAGTCAGTATTTCCGGAATAACGTGAATGGTTGAACCTTCTTATTAGTGTCGCCATACGGTCACTGTCAGGAGGTATCACGCTTCTGTCTGCAAATAGAACGTTATATAACACAAAATCTCATTACTGAGCACAATGTTGATACTGTATGTTATCATTAACGATCAGTTTATATGTTGTGTTCGATTGCTATATACACGAACTGATATACCGATTGAATTTAAGTATTTTTAACAATATTGCGGAACAAGTTATACTGTAATACCAATTTGTTAACGTTATCATAATCCAAACTCTAATACAATAAAATTATGGTAAAAGGAAGATCTGTACGGCAACTCAGTAAGCGGCTCCTGCTTCATTGGTTAAAACATTGGTGAATTATTGCCTGTTCGTCATAAACGATCAGGACAAACTAGAACTACAAACAAGACCTTACATAGTCACATTTTTGGTTATTACCAATGTCATTTGGATCAAAGTGACCTCTTTGGCTGAAAAAGCAACAAGGAAACATTCCCTTTTCACCTAATAGAAGTGATATTAACGACATCACCAAAGGATGTACATTGTTTCTAAAACAAAGCCATGTTCACTAATTTACTCGCCAGAAATAATATCAGCGTCATCATTTCTGAAACAGGCAGATCAAAGACATATGTCAATACGTTAAAAAAAACATAAAATATATGACGCGAGTAAAGAAATTTATTGGGTGTTAATTAACTCAAACCTAATGCACTTGCTAGTTTTGTGATAGGAAGATTTTATAACTAGCCCACAAACCGTCAATCGCTTACCGTAGCAGGAACATGTAAAATCTCTATTCGGTGACTCTTTGTGAGTGGGATATTTGAAGCCTGGCTTTTTACTTCAGAATGAATATTAATTTTGTGGGTATATGATAAAAAGTGATTGTATCTACACCGTCAAATGTCAGTAAAATCAATAGCCTATTTCTGTGTCATCCGCTGAGTAATCAAGCTTCAAAGAACCTAGAAGTAATGGCCTTAACTGACTGGCCCGTAACTGACTAGTTTGTGACGTGGGTGACGACTGCTCATTTTCCCTTTTAATAGTCGATGATAATAGAACAAGATCGGTAGGTTCATTCATGTAGGAAGCCAGTTTAAATACGTACCTTTATGTTTGTTTTTCGCTGAGAAGGTTTCCCTCCGATTCTATAATTAAACCTGGCTTCCTGTTCGGCTTCTGCTGCTAAACCGGAAATAACCTCGTAAGCGGTCTTTCGTCGAGTTTGACATGCGCCAGGAGGCAAATAGAACAGGATTGATGCATGTGGAGAGGAAACCAAAAACAGTGAATGTTGTGTAGGTAATGTCAAAATGTCCAGTATTATTGCCATTCTCGTGGACGAAAAATTGTACCAAAATCAAAATATTCAGGGGACACCAACAAATAGCAAAGAGCGTAACCATAGCGATTAGATAATTTTGTGTCCTCTTTTCTTTAGCGAGGTCAATGTCATCATCGCTATCCTGTGTGGTGCCATCTGTGTAGTCCTTTGGGGATCTGGATTCACTACTCGGAGCGTCTGTATCACAACGTGACGATTCGGTATCGGGATCAGCCCATCTGATGCGTGAGTTATACGGTTGTTCCGAATGTGTGCACATTTCCGATGGCGCTGAGAAGTGAACTGATATAGTTACCGTCTCCAAGGATTTCAGTTCAGCAGAAACTTTAACACAAAGGAATCCAATCACAGCTAATGGCATAGCATACAACGTCACAAACATGGCCCGAATATACTCTTCAATGTGCCGTTCTTGATTGACGTAACAAATACCGACCCCATCGAATCGGTCACCCAATATAGAGCCAAGGTCAATGTAACGAAGATAAACAGCGAAAGGTAATACGAGGCACACCGCAGCCACCCATACACCTATGATACACAGTCCGGCAGGCGCACGCGCCTTAAAGGGTGTCACTATCAAACGGTATCTGTCAATGGCTATCATCAGGTAAGTCAGCATGGTGGAATGAATAGGAAAACATTGCATCATTGGAAGGAAAAAACATAAAAAGCTTCCGAAGACCCAATTCCCGATTAATAAGTTGGACAAAGTAACCGGTAGGACAAACATACACTTGATCAAATCCGAGAAGGCAATGTTTCCCAGGAAGAAGAATGTCTGGTCTTTGTATAACCCTCTTTTGCCGATGACGATGAGAATGGCGATGTTCCCGACCAACCCAAATATTCCCACAGCGGCATGGAGGAACATAAATAAGGGGTAAACGTACCTCAGAGAACGGCGCACGTGCGGTTGTGTGAAGTCCACGCCTTCTGTACTGTTGTTGTCGTGTATCCATTTAAGAATAAGGCCAATGTAGGTTTCTTGTCCGTCGATCAATGCCATGGTAGCAACGATCTATTGCCTTCAATATTAATTTATTAGTTCATTAGATTGATCAACTGATTGGAAAATGCGGTATGTTGAACAACCATTCGATGTTGCGTACACCCAGATAGAACAGTAGACCTGTCTGGTGGCAGAAGGCAAAATAAGCTTCAAAGCGGGCACCTACAAAGATATAAAAACATTGTGAACTTCCAAGCAAATATGATTTGATAGAAAATAACAATGGGACACGTGCATGCTAACAAATCAGTGATTCTAACTCAAACGAATATATGAAGGTATTTCAGAACAAGAGGAACCGTTTACAACCTCGCACAAATAGATGGCAAATCGGTGTTCCGAAGGCTGAGAGTCTTCTATGGTTCATCAAAGATCCGTGTCATGAACATATGTTAATCATGGGAAGATCGCTTCTCCAAATGAGAGGTGTTCATAAAAAATCGCTTGCGGTTGACAACTCCACTGAACAATCTGTGGAAGGTATCTAATGCCACTTAAAGAAATAATTAGATGGCGACTTGCCCTAGAAGTTAACCGCTTCAGTATAAACCGATCCGTTTCTCAGCTTCAAGAGAAACACGGCCGTAACGGGTATGGAACGTCGGACCATGCACCTCGAATCTTCATCTGAGGTTACATAGGCTCACGCTCTGACAGACTATGTTATAGCGGCAACGAAAATACCACTTACAGTAACGAACATAGGGCATATCAAAATAATAATTTCGAAACTGAAACATTCCAAGCAAGGCTATGATTACGACTCATCAGCTGATATCTATCGTATCCCTGCATTTCTGTCGTCAGCTTTCAACATATATCAAGGTAATATGTAGTCCATACCTGTGTCTGTGTATAAAGGTGTGAATGAGGGTGTGTGTTTATCTGCTATACGTTGTAAGTTGTGAGTTACCTCCCTTGATTGTTTTGTGTACATTTTTGTTATCGAATGTTTTACTTAAGCTACTGGTTTTGTTCTACACCAGTAGCCATCCATGGAGAGAATTTATACAGGCTTTGCCTGTTATTCAATCCATTTGACCATACCATCTGTCAATAAAAATTGTGGAAATGAAAGACCTTCGATGCAACATTAAAAATGAAAATACAATAGTTTAAAAATAGATGGAACGAATAAATATCGATAAGTATTCAAGCAAAACAAAAGACTTTACGCTAACAATAAGTGTACCAAACTAAAGCATAGACAGTTACACTGTCTAGTCCTGCTCATGTAAAAACCTTGTAATATACAATAGTAAAACCTAGTTTAAAAATACTGTGATTAGTATTTACGATCCGTACAGAAATGAAAAACCACGGTATAACAAAGTGTTGAAACAAAAGATCAGCTCTATAATATACATAGCCAAAAACACTACCTATATATCTATCTCGCAAAAGCAATATCGAGATATCCATGATACAATCTTAAGGTAAATGGTGGCCCTTGCAAGTTCTTTCTTTTTCATATCGTATTTTGTATTGATGAATATTGGATTATAAATCTCCAGAAAAACAAAACTCCATACATCTTTACTGTAAATGTCACAAGGAAGACGAACTCTTCCTTTCTTGGAAATGCTTAAATGACACAAGGTCCTACGTCTTCTTATATGAAAAAAACTTTTGGAATATAAAAGTATCATTGAAAACAATTATATGTTATTAAGATAATGATGAATGAGTCCATATAGAGTGACGTCAATCCAACTAGATAATGAATATCACTATGTGGAGGAGAATAGGTATAACAGAAACAAAAAAGGTAATATTGGCATCATAAGATACGGGAATGATGTCAAAACATTACCCATACTTATATACCAAAACAATGTAAAACACCTGTAGATATAATTATATACCAAAACAATGTTAAACACCAGTAGGTATGATTATATACCAAAACAATGTTAAACACCAGTAGATATAATTGTATACCAAAACAATGTAAAACACCAGTAGATATAATTATATACCAAAACAATGTTAAACACCAGTAGATATAATTATATACTAAAACAATGTTAAACACCAGTAGATATAATTATATACCAAACAATGTAAAACACCTGTATATATAATTATATACCAAAACAATGTAAAACACCAGTAGATATAATTGTATACCAAAACAATGTTAAACACCAGTAGATATAATTATATACCAAAACAATGTTAAACACCAGTAGATATAATTATATACCAAACAATGTTAAACACCAGTAGATATAATTATATACCAAACAATGTAAAACACCAGTAGATATAATTGTATACTAAAACAATGTTAAACACCAGTAGATATAATTGTATACCAAAACAATGTAAAACACCTGTATATATAATTATATACCAAACAATGTAAAACACCAGCAGATATAATTGTATACCAAAACAATGTTAAACACCAGCAGATATAATTGTATACCAAAACACTGTTAAACACCAGTAGATATAATTATATACCAAACAATGTAAAACACCAGCAGATATAATTATATACCAAAACAATGTTAAACACCAGTAGATATAATTATATACCAAACACTGTTAAACACCAGTAGATATAATACCAAACAATGTAAAACACCAGCAGATATAATTATATACCAAAACACTGTTAAACACCAGTAGATATAATTATATACCAAACAATGTAAAACACCAGCAGATATAATTATATACCAAAGGTGATACAAAAGAGCTACAAGTGAATAGCACTTTTAAATACAAACTGAGATCTAGATCCAGTAGAGCCAAACAATGGCTTTAACTGCCATCATACAGGACACGTCAGCGATGCTAAGTGCCTTATTTTTGAAACCTTGGAGGCGGCTGAAAAAAATCCAAAGCAATCGACAGAAAATGTAAAACCTAGATGGGGAGGTGCACTGCCCCTTTGATTCAATAAATTTTCCCATTTACATATTACTGAAAATTTTAGAAAATAGTATATAAGAGGACCTCGGGGATTAAAAGTCCCCCAGCAGTGTCTACTACCGTAATATTACTTTCAATACAAATATAAAATTTGTAGTTTAGATACAGTAGAGACAAGCAATATTATATCAAAATTAATATTAAAGTCACATTAACACATAAAATTATATACCAAAGTCACATCAACACATCCTACATCCTTAATATCAGAGTCACATAAACACATCCTACATCCTTAATATCAGAGTCACATAAACACATCCTACATCCTTAATATCAGAGTCACATAAACACATCCTACATCCTTAATATCAGAGTCACATCAACACATCCTACATCCTTAATATCAGAGTCACATAAACACATCCTACATCCTTAATATCAGAGTCACATCAACACATCCTACATCCTTAATATCAGAGTCACATAAACACATCCTACATCCTTAATATCAGAGTCACATAAACACATCCTACATCCTTAATATCAGAGTCACATAAACACATCCTACATCCTTAATATCAGAGTCACATTAAACATTATACGTCAATAATATCAGAGTCACATAAACACATCCTACATCCTTAATATCAGAGTCACATAATCACATCCTACATCCTTAATATCAGAGTCACATCAACACATCCTACATCCTTAATATCAGAGTCACATCAACACATCCTACATCCTTAATATCAGAGTCACATCAACACATCCTACATCCTTAATATCAGAGTCACATCAACACATCCTACATCCTTAACATCAGAGTCACATAAACACATCCTACATCCTTAATATCAGAGTCACATAAACACATCCTACATCCTTAATATCAGAGTCACATAAACACATCCTACATCCTTAATATCAGAGTCACATCAACACATCCTACATCCTTAATATCAGAGTCACATCAACACATCCTACATCCTTAATATCAGAGTCACATCAACACATCCTACATCCTTAATATCAGAGTCACATAAACACATCCTACATCCTTAATATCAGAGTCACATCAACACATCCTACATCCTTAATATCAGAGTCACATAAACACATCCTACATCCTTAATATCAGAGTCACATAAACACATCCTACATCCTTAATATCAGAGTCACATCAACACATCCTACATCCTTAACATCAGAGTCACATAAACACATCCTACATCCTTAATATCAGAGTCACATAAACACATCCTACATCCTTAACATCAGAGTCACATAAACACATCCTACATCCTTAATATCAGAGTCACATAAACACATCCTACATCCTTAATATCAGAGTCACATAAACACATCCTACATCCTTAATATCAGAGTCACATAAACACATCCTACATCCTTAATATCAGAGTCACATTAAACATGATACGTCAATAATATCAGAGTCACATTAAACATTATACGTCAATAATATCAGAGTCACATAAACACATCCTACATCCTTAATATCAGAGTCACATAAACACATCCTACATCCTTAATATCAGAGTCACATCAACACATCCTACATCCTTAATATCAGAGTCACATAAACACATCCTACATCCTTAATATCAGAGTCACATAAACACATCCTACATCCTTAATATCAGAGTCACATTAAACATTATACGTCAATAATATCAGAGTCACATTAAACATTATACGTAATTAGATATCAGTGTCACATTAAACATGATACGTCAATAATATCAGAGTCACATAAACACATCCTACATCCTTAATATCAGAGTCACATAAACACATCCTACATCCTTAATATCAGAGTCACATAAACACATCCTACATCCTTAATATCAGAGTCACATCAACACATCCTACATCCTTAATATCAGAGTCACATCAACACATCCTACATCCTTAATATCAGAGTCACATCAACACATCCTACATCCTTAATATCAGAGTCACATTAAACATTATACGTCAATAATATCAGAGTCACATAAACACATCCTACATCCTTAACATCAGAGTCACATAAACACATCCTACATCCTTAATATCAGAGTCACATCAACACATCCTACATCCTTAAT